TTCGTCGCATGAGAATCGAACTCGCGTCGCTTATCCACACTCTAAAAAAAAAGGTTCTTTCCCGAACCTAAAAAGGATCTTCCCGCGGATACACGGGAAGATCCTTTTTGGTTTCGCATAAAACCTCTTCAAAACAATTCAAAAAAAGGTTCCGTAGCAATGGTTTCGTACAAAACCTTTCAAAAGCAATTCAAAAAAAGGTTTCGTACAAACTGATTAGCACCAAAAGTTCTTCTAATTGTCCGCTCTGCCAAATTTCATTTAATCTTCGGGTGCCGACCGCGGTATGCATACCATTTCCAGTGTTTCTCAAAATCCAAGAATGACATATTTTCAAAACAAACAAAAGTAAGTGGACATAGTCTATAGAGCAATTTTCTTTTATCGATGTAAACGGTTACTCTATAGGCTATGTTCATTCCCTTTTGATTGATTTGAATATATGTCATTCTTGGATTTTGAGAAACGCTGGAAATGGTATGCATATCGCGGTCGGCACTCGAAGATTGAATGAAGCCCAACGATGATTTTCATAGTTGAAACAATCTATAACACAGAAATAGGAAAAAATAAGTATAAGCATTTCACAAGTTTAAACTTACCCCTTTATTGCCGCACTTGAATCAACCTACAACAAAAAAAAAAGGAAAAAATGATGAAGTTTCAAAATGTGAAACTTACCTAAAAACCGCATCCACACATCAACCTACAATAACAATATTAACAAATATAATAAATTTATAAGATCAAGCTTACCTAAAATTCCACATATAGATCAACCTAGAACACAAAAAATTAAACCAATTTATGAGATTTCATAAGATCAAACTTACCCCCGACATTGCATCTTTCGAGGAATCAATAGTTAAGCTAAACAAATTTGCCTTATTTTTCCAAATCAAGTTTACTTAAAATCTTAATGTGAGATAATCTATAATATAAAGAACATATTAATTAATTTTCAACATATCAAACTTATTTGCGAATTTTACCTGCAGTTGAAATAAAAAAGCTACCTTTACAGCTTTTGACTTGGCGGTGCACCGATTTTCTGACCAATGGGAACTCGACGGGGAAAACTGAGTACATATTCGGGTTGCTGGACTTCGATAGCCTAAATGAAAGTGTCGTGAAAAGAGAGAAAGCTCTTAAAGTAAGTTAGCCACTAAGATACATTGTTCTGAATTCGGTGCACGGAAAGGTTGGAATTTTTTAATGTTTTTGGTGGTAGCCTCCTTATAATGGACTTAGTGAGATCCATCCTGACGCAAATACAGAACTCGACATGATTGAAAGAAAGGAAGACCACTATCGGTATGGCGCAGAACCATATACTCTTTCGTGTTTTTATGGGAAATATATGAAAAACTTTAACGGAACCATTGTGATTCAGTATGAAATCTACAAAACCTTCAAATAAAGTTGGAGCCTACGAAGCGTTTTGTTCGAAATGCCCTAAATCGTGTAGCCGACCAGAAAATTGGAAAAGTTTTTGCCAAAAAATACAGATCCTACGCATGCTCAACGATACTATCCATGGTTTCGTGTAAAATATACCAAACCATATAAGCATATAGAAACTGTCGAGAAGTTCCGCGCAAAAAATACGAAACCTTCGGATTATTAACGAAACTATCGGTGGCTCCGTATCAAAAAGGCGGAACTATTTTTTTGATAAAAGAAGTCAACAATGGTTCTGTCGGGATATTTGGAAACCTTAGGTCATTTTAGGAGACTATGTTAGGTTCGGCGGATGATCTACGAAACCTTAGTTCATTTTATGAAACTCTGAGAGGTTCTGTACATGATCTACGAAACCGCAAAGCACTTCACGGAACTTATAAAAAGTTCCGTCGCTAAATGGCCGAACCCTGTAAAATCTGCTGAACTTAAAAAGGTTCAGAAAGAGAGCCACGAATTCATTTGCACTCGACAGAACTTTTAAGGTTCCGTAAAAAACCTATTTTTTTAGAGTGCAGGTATCTTTTGTACACAACATAAAGATGATCTTCATATAACTGAAGAAACAGCATACGATAAAACTATTACAGAGGGAAAAGGAAAGAATAAGAAAACGACTACTGTTCATGTCGATCCTACGTCATACCATGACATGACTAAGCGAGTACGTTCGCTTACTGAACAAAATTTATGTTTAGCCAGAAAAAATAATGAATTAGGATATAAATGTGAACCTCTTTTTGGAGATCTTTTTGATTATTAGGATTATTGGATCGACACATTACACATGAAGCTGCGAGTTTTCGATATTATTTTGAAAGATATTTTGTCTTATGCTTCTCGTACCAGTAAATATGAAGCTGAACATCTAACTATTCTTGAGCATAAAATTAAGATTCTTAATCAACATTGCGAGAAAACAGTTGGCAAGCGTTTCTTTTTTCAAGTAGATACAGACGATAAAAATAAAACTATTGCTTCACATGGAAAACTTTCTGGTCATCTTCAAGATTTTTTTTTTATCGATAGCTTTCCTTATGAAGATATTCTCACCGATGAAATCGCTAAATCAGCTCGAACTGTTGTGAATAAATTTAAAGAAATTCTTAACGAAGTTAAACATACTCCTATAAAAAGAAAAGGTGTTCTTAAACGTTTGCCACTCGAGTTTGTTAAAGAATTTCGTCGAAGTGGTCTCCGTACGACTGTTACTCCATATATTCATATAGTAATTGGCAATCATTTATTTGAATTTCATGAGTTTAACAATCTGGGAGATTACAATATGCTGGGTGTTGAAAAAAATAATGACTTACTCTCTCGTCTCTATTTCTCATCTACAAATTCTGCAAAAAATCCTCTTCTTACGATGCTTCAAAAGCTGTACCGAATGCTCGAGATGAATTTCCAGGATGAGAGAGAAAGAGATGCAATGGCCGAATTCGCTCGTACAGGTGTCTATGATTTTGTTGAAGAAGATATAAGTGAATCTATATCTCTTTCTAAAGATCATGCTCTCTTTCATGATAATGAAGAAGATGCTGAAAGTGAAGCAGAATCTGAAGAACAAGTTGGTTCATCTATAGAAGAGGTCGAAGATGAAGATGAAGATGAAAGAGAATTAGAAAAATTAAGGATTTGGGCACCTGAAAAAAGATTTAATATTCTACCCGCTCCTCGTTCACAAAATCGCTTTAAAAGTTTCCGAAAATCTTAAATATTTTGTTGAGGTACAATAGAAATAAATTAACATATTTCATCTCTCTCTTTAATTAAAATTCATGTTATCCCCGTTTTGTAAATATTACCTGTTAAAATTATTATAAATATGAGAAAACATGTAAATTAAATTTATTGTTTATTTCTACTTATTAAGTCAAAGTTAGAATGCAAGCAGTTTATTTTATTTTAATAATTTGTTGTAGATATGAATCATTGCTTCGTTGATAATTTTTGCATCACTAGTGTTTCTGTCCCGTTGTGATAAAAAAATGTGGACAACAAAATCATATTCCACCTAATATTCCTATTTTTGATGGTCACATACATCTTAACCAGATTATTTCTAAAACTCAATCAGATCTTGTTTCTATTAGGGTAGCTCCGTCAATTCGAGAATTTCATTTTATAAATAACAACCACAAGCCTGATGAATGGCTGATTCCTAGTCCATCTTCCTTCTTGTCTCATGTTCATGTATATCCCACAATCGGTATTCATCCTAAATACTTTGATTCAAAATCACTTTACCAAAACTTCGATGATCTCAAAAATTATTTAGAAATTTCGCGTAACGATCAAACTCTTAAAAATAAAATTGTTGCTGTAGGTGAATGTGGTTTAGATGAGACAAGCATGGCGACTATTGATCATCAAATATTTGTTCTTGAAAAACAAATAGATCTCGCCATTCAATACCATCTTCCGATCATTCTCCATTGTCGTGGTACCCATCTCTATAGAATATTATTTGATTGTTTAAGAAATCGAACATCTGTTAGAAATATGCGACTTCATTGTCATTGCATTAACAGTAATGCAAATTTGCATATTGTTGATCTTTTTTTAAACGAATTCCCCAATTCATATATCGGTATTAGTGGATCCATAACCTACGAAACAAATACCGAACGCTCCCTGATGTTCAAAAATTGGTTAGTGGATCGATCTCCTTTTCTTCCTGATCGATTAATCCTAGAAACCGACTATCCATATCTTCCACCGCGAAACCTGCACGGCATATACGATCCATCATGTGCTCTGTTGGCTACAGCTACATATCTATCGAAAACGATCGTCGATTCAAGTCAAACTGCTCTCTCATATATTTGTTCATCTAATACAAATATAAAATTAGTGTATGGTTTGCGAATTTTGTCTCCTTATCTGTTCAATACCATACATTTGCCTATTAAAAATCTTGTTTTTATAATTTCATTATGTATATAATATATAGAATTCAATTTATCGATTTGATGAATTTGAAGAACGAAGTGTGAAAGAGAACACAAAAGAATAATTCGCATATAGCTGAGTGGCTAAAGGCGTGGATAACGCGACGCGAGTTCGATTCTCGTGCGAAGAATTTTTTTCTGTTCTCTTTCGTTATTTACCATTGATCTTTTTTTCCTAAAATTTTTGCTTGTGATCAGAGGTACCCTCTCGAGATCTCAACGGGGAACGAGGTAGTTGAATATGCTGATTCAGAATATGCAATTTGTTTTCACCGACAACATTTCCTTCAAAACCACTCCGGGGCGATATGCTTGAACGGCGATATTCTTTTTCTTTCATGTACCGATTCAAATGAATGAATAAATTTTTTCATTGATCAACCCATGTGAAACCCAAACGCACACTAGACGCGTTTAAACGCGTTTTAAGCGCGTGTAGGCGCGGCTATGGTAACAAGTACAAATAAAACGCGTTCAGGCGCGTTTCACAGACGCATCTAGATGCGTTCAGGTTAATAAGCGCATCTGGACGCATCTAAAATAGAAACGTGGGGCTTGCACTATCTACAGTTAATCCGCTTTGTTCATAAAACTTATATGTTTAAGTATTATCTAATATAATCAATGAAACTTTTACATAATCTTGAATTTTTTTCCAATTATTTTTACCTTATTTTTCTTGAACCATAAAGATTTAGCAAAACGTTTTGATCAGATGTAATCTGCCAAAGTTCTTGAAAAATATGAAATGCGCGCTAAAAAAAATTGGAATACAATAAACATCGATTTTAGGAAATATAAAATATTACATAAGCAAAGTTACTATGAACAGCTATTACAAATAATTATTCTCTAATAGAATAAATTCTATCCGTGTCCCTTTCATGTTTTATCATTTGGAATATTGATACCTGTCTTCCGCGTATTATAGAATATTAAATGATATAAAAGAAATTTATTGAAAAAATGAACTAGATAAATACAACAGTTATGAAGATTCACAAAGATTTGGTATACGACAAAATACATAGCACTTCAACTGATTGTTATAGGTATACACAATCTTTTCAATAATGGCTTCAGATTTAATGAAGACATAATTGTTAATATCAATATCTCCATGAAAGATATTAGGACACGATATTTTGTTTTGATCAAACGTAAGGCACAATTGGTCTCTTATGTTGACTTTACAAATGCGTAAAAGTAATTCACGTCGGCGAACTTGAATGATATTTTGTATGAATCCGATAGATGGTTTTCCAGCAAGTAAAAATAATAAACAACTATCGTCTTTTTGACTCGATGAACAATATACCATCACTGAAAAACGATTTGTAAAAATATAACATGTTTTAAATAGTTTTAAATCTTTTTGACGAAGAATATTTTGAAGTTCGACGCGAACATTTTCGTTTAGATCTTCTTGTCGATACTGAACGGTTTGATTTTCATTAATAGATGATAATAAAAACGAACGTTTTGTTGATTGAGTGATATTGATGAAACGTTTTAGGTTGCTGTTGAATGAAGAACGATCAAATTCAATTAGTGCTGAACGAAGAATTTTCAAGTTGTTGTGAATTTCGCATTCGTGTCGACGTGTAGAATGAACTGTAGAAGTTATTAAACCTGAAATAATAAAAGAAAGATCATTACATGCTATGGAATGAAATGTCGAATTATATGATGATCAGATATACCTAAAACATTTTCAAAATTGAAAGTCGAATAATTACTCAACGAACCATATTCAGCCACACTTGCAGCTACATGATGCAAACTATGAACCGATTGAGAATTATGCCGTGGTGTGTATAGAACTGGAAACAGTTTTAGAAAACGATGAAACAATAAACGAATATCTTCGATTTGTATACGACGAATTTGTCGAGATTCAGCTATGTGCACTCCAACAACCAGCAAAAGCAAATGTCTTGCGTATTGAAGCGGTAAAACAGAACAGAAAGCAGGAAAACCAAATAAAAGAATGCCACGAGCTTCGTTGGCTTTGAACTTTTCATATTTTGATAGAGAACGCGGTATGCGAACAGTCGTTGATGGATACTTTATTGAAGATAAATAACGATTAACTACATTTAACTTCGAACAAATACTCCATTGTGCTTTTTTATACTTTTTTTTGAACCAAAGATGAAGCAAGCGTTTCTAAACAAAAAGGGACACATGAGTTACTAATTATAATTTTTTTCTATAGGTGAGTAATAAGAATAGATTTGAAACAACAGTTTCTTTTCTTTTTTTTGTCGAATGGTATTCAATAAAGGAATACGATTTTGCAAAATGAATATTTCATTTTGTATTATGTTGCAATTGGCAACGTCACTTTCAAGATAATGATCCACAAAATAAAATATAAATATGTAACAAGGATTTGTTTCATTCATGTATACATGGAAATGATCATTATTGAACACTTCATATCCGTACGAGAGAGACACATTGTATAAAATCTAGTCTTCTGATGCATGAAACGAATTAACGTCTCTTTAGAAAGCTTAATTTAGACGACTTCTATTTTGTAACATGTGCATATTTGTTTCTATATGATTAATTTGAATCGAATGTTTACATTTTCTGTACCCTACATTATCTTAGGGATAGTATAGAATTCTACTTGTGTCCACTTGAATTAATATAGCTTAAGGATTTACAGCTCTATTCTAATGGAACAAGATATATGTATATTGATTTAAATCCGTCTCAACTGAAATTCTATTTTGTAATTGTCTTCTTACGTTCAAATCTTGACAAAAAAAGTTGAATGATTTGCACTTTACTCAATGTGCTTTGCTTTTCAATAACATACGCCTATGACTTTTCCATTTTAAGTATTTGAAATCATTTGAAACAAATGAGACTATGCACTCATATGATTCATACTAACTACCCAACTGCAGTGTTCGTAGACTCATTCTTTATACTACAATCAATATTAAAGAGTAAAAGTTTACGATTGCATAGATTCGTTGTGATTTCTAGTGAAAAACAAGAGAAACTTCCATTTTTTTCGTTTATCTCAAAGCAATTATGGTAAGATCTCTTACCACCACACCATGGTATATATTATGTAATGAATCGGATAAAAAACTAGTTCCAACATCGAAGTAAGTTAAATCACGAAGAATACATGGGCTAATGTGACCGTGTAATCGATCACGAAGTTGTGTATCATTACGAAAACGTTCTTTTGCAAATTTATTCATAAATATATCATAGCTTTTGTTCGTACGTTAGCGAGGCTGTTCTTGATGATTAGGAACAAGAGGAAAAACTCGAATTTTCTTCTTTGAATTCGGTTTAACAGCCACTGTTTCCCCTAAATTAGTAATTTGATTCATTAACATAAGAACACTGTAAATAATACCCATATTCTTACCTTCCAGTTCACAACGTCCGCAACCGAAAGCTCCTATTGGTTCACTAATTCCTTGAACCAAACATTGTGCCGGCTTATCACAGCAAGATGCAATCAAGAATATTTTAAGACGTATGTTTGAGTTTTCATTCAAACATTTTACTTTAAAAGTTTCACCTTGTTCCAAAACAACAAGTTCTTTTACAATAGGTGATAGAAGTGCTTGCATCTGATGACGGCTGGGTTTTGATACAGTTGATGCAATGCCACCTACTATGACGTTTTTTAATTTAAACCGTTCACTTCTTTTGATTTCATTAATGACCAATGTAAATATCCAAAGAGATAAATTTGAGCTTTTTGCAACTTGAATACCGTCGACATTCATTAATAGAGTTAAAAAGTTCTTTCCTGCCTCTTTCTTTATTATACGTTGATACGTTTCTGCATCATATATATCATTCATTGTATCAATGTTTGAAGCAGATTTTTGTTGTTCAAAATTCAATGCATGTGTATGAGCAAGAATTTCTCGTAACTGTTGAAGTATTGGAATTCGTAAATAAGATATTGGTGATGTACGAAAGCCTGTGTGTTGTGTACAATTAACGTCGCTACAGCGATTTGGCGATGTTGACGCTTCACAACAGACTGGACAAATATAAGTAGTCAATGACGAAGGTGAAGCGGAAGCATTCGGTAGCAAATGCCGTTTAACTCGATAAAAATTAATTGGACAGTTTGGCATTTTCATAAGTTTTAATAATTTACACAAATCATTGATGCCTTTCGTTGATATACGATGGCGAATCTATTACATAAAGAAAGAGTATTTCTAGGATTATAATTCATATTCTAATAAAATAATCAAAGTGACATTTATGTATACGTGAAAACGTTAGAAAACACAATTGCACTTAATCGTCTTACAAATCAGTCAAGTTATTGACATTTCTGCTCATTCACATCGATAAGTTATTTAAAAAATGTACCAATAAAAATTATTTCAAGCTCTTATTCTAACATTGCCGACTGTTTTATGAAATGTAATCTCAAATACGTGTTGATGTTAAGAGCTAGAAATGTAGCTCGCTACCCACTCAGACAGTAGAAGATAATTTAGCAACTTCCTTCTTGAGGATGTAAATAGCACCTGTATCGTGTTTCACATTTAAATTGTATGGTAGATGTACTAATAACATTTCTTTTTAATTTATTACTTCCAGACTCGTATGTTTAATTAAATAGCCTCATAGTTATAACCGTTACATAAATCACTCCGTTTCTCTTCTAAAGATGCCATTACCTTCAATAAGACAAGGGCTGCAGCAATCTCTTTCTGTGTATGAGTTCTATATATATATATATATATATAACAAATGCATTTTAACATAATAAAAGATTTAACGATAAGACTTGCTGACTACTATTGGCAAATAAAAATTCTTTCTCCAGAACAGGATATTGAAATATTGGTTCAATTTCTACATTTTCCCAAGGGTCAATAGCATTTAGCACACGTTCATCAAGCCACATTTGGTCATCGTAAGCATCGAATACATCTTGTGATCCATTTTCCGCTATTTGCACGTCAGAATAGCAATTAGAAGTCGAAAAATCAGACTGACTCTCGAAATGATTCAAAGAATCTGCTTGATGTGAGACTTCTTCATTATTATCATTCGAAATAGTTGAAGATGTTGAATCAAGCAAGCTAGATTATAGAGATCATATTTAATGTATGAACTATGTAGCAAAACTATAGCATATACTTTTCATCAAATAGTGAAGCATTGGTCATTATTCTTTGACTTAAAAGCTCTTTAAGTCGTTTTTTGCGACGCCACAATGTAACTCTGGATGGCATCTAAAATTGCATATCATCCAACGATACATAATTTATGTTAGTCTATATCTAATGCTTTATTATCTATGTATGTAGAAGAATAGGCGATACAAAGTAACAGAACATAACAAAATTCTATTGTCATTCATCGTCATCTTGAATTTCTTCAACATTATGATTTTCTTTATCATAACCAGAATCACTTGATTTTGAATGTTGATTCTTATTCATCGTTTGTAATAAAGTTTTTTGTCCTTTGTCCAGACAATTGACTTGCTTATCGGTGTTGTTACTTTGTTCTGTTGCTATTGATTTCTTTTCTTGTTTCTTTTTTACTTTCAATTCACACTTTCTCGATCGAAATACACCATTAATGGCTTCATTAAAAGCACGATTTGATATTGGACCTTTCTGGGATTCAGCAAATTCTATTTTAAAGCAATTGAAAGTTAATCTGTTGTGATCGAAGAAAAAAATCTACTTACGTCGAATCATTAATCGTCGATCTTTTGGTACTTCTGTTCCTTTCATAGTCAATAATTTGTCAGATGAATATAAATATCGAACCACTTGTCGCACTGTATTTGAAGTTGTATCTTGTATACAAGCAACAAGATTTCGTGGATCGTCTATGCCCAAATTCGTTGCATGTGTCGCAATGTTTGTGTCAGCTGTCTTATTCGAAAAGTATTTTCCCATATTAATAAACCATTGACGTCCTGCAGCATCTGGTATCGCTAAAACATTTTCAAAGTTTTAATAGTGTCATTCTGAAGAAAACCATATGTATATTGTTGATAGGTATCAAATATTCTCTCGAAAACTCATAAAAACTAGTCTTTTCTTTTACATAAAACTTTGTTCAGCTAGCAACATATACATTTTTTTCAAAGAGCTTTTCCACTCATAGATAGAACATGAGTAGCTTGTCAGAAAAACTTATATGTAACACTATTTTGTTTAGCATCTTTCGAAGACAAGTTTCATCATTCTTTATTTTCTATTGTTTCAACATAAGGACGTAGTATGTTATGCTTTGTTTCTGATCAATATTGCTAATGTTTCATTCATATCTGAAAGAATTCAAATAACCAGTCTCATTCAAGATATATTTCAATTATGGCTGACTTAATAAACTTTATTGTGAATGTGCTCAATAAATAGCAAGACAATTTTTAACATCTTCGCTTACCTATATGTTCCTAAAAACATCGAAGATCAAAAAGATATAATACACTTACGCATAGTTGATTTTTTTATGATTTGATTTTCTTTTGTCAGACGATCACATTCAAGTTGTAATTCACCATTTTCTTTGGTCAGCTTATTACATTTTTTGGATAAACCGTCGAATTGACACAACATGTCACTACTAGTTATATTATGTAATTGTTGTTCTTGTTCTATGAAATGAATCAATGATAAACAATGAAATTGGTATGCTTGATAATCATACGAACCTGAGTTGGAATTGACGAGCACTGCCGTATCCTTTTCACGGCTATGGGTATTTTGAATTTGAGAATTGATGAGTATTTGACTATTCGAAGCTCTTTGTGGCTCACGTTGATGTTCAATTTGAAATCCTATGAGGAAAATCAAAATCTAGCGAACTAGTAATTAAAATTAATTTACCATTTGTTGAAGAATCTTTTACGCTTTTTTTTAACTTGTTCGTTGTCGATTTACGAATAGATTTTGTTGATGATATATTATTATATGATGAATCATTTGTTATAATACGGTATAATTCATCTTCGTTGCTACTTGGTTCATTTACTAGTGAATAAAGCCAAACGATACACTAACTTATTTGAATATTGTTTGACTTACGGCCTTCATCGATTTGAGAAGGTTTCGACTTTAAATGATGTGTCTTCTGTACGATATGTGTAGTTTGTTTTTCAGAACTAACTTCAAGACCCGGATTTGAACCTGCGTTGATACGATCGTGTACTTTAAATGATATTGGTACTTGTTTTTCTAAACATTTGAACAATAGTTTATTCAAATCTGTTCAATACACTGTCACAGAAATCTCAGCGTTGTTTTAAGATCTGATCAACAGAGAATACATGTCGCTGTTTTGAACCAAAATTATTTCCTTCAGATTTATTCAGAACTTTAACAATAATACATCAGCATAAAGTTTTTCACACTTACTAGAACTTTTTTTTCTTTCATCGTATCCGTCGTTCTCATTTGCTGCATGAATTTCATCATCAGTTTCATTGTGTTGATCAACACCAGCAGTCATTTCAAAAACTTGAAGTTGTTCCATGCATACTTCCTTGGTACCTATGTAAGAATAATATTACAAAAACATGTAAGATTTTTAATATACTCACCCAACTGTATAATCTTTCCTCGATATTGTTTTCTACTGTTATTATCCACCTTAAATGTTGCTGTATTGTTGATTTTAATACGTGTTACTGAAATATTAACCAGATTTGTCACCGGCAATAACATCATTTTGTCATCAATTTCACGTTGAATAATCATGTGTGTTGACAAAATTTTTTTTTCACCACCTTGACACGACGATGCTACTGATGTAACACTTTCAATAGACTTGGATCGTTGCATGATCTAAAAATCTAAGGAAATTAAAAATCTTAACTTGTTGTGGTGCATTCGAATGACAAACAAAACTATCATGTAAACAGATAAAATGATCATATTCATTGTTTATTCTTCATAGTTGAACGTTAGTATGTCTTATGATTGGCGACAAAAAAAACACATGTCGACATTTTGAATCGAAAAACAGATGCGTCACGTGATTAAACAAAAAAACGTTATCCAAGAATCATTAAGCCTATAGGATATTCGAAACATAAAAACCGTTATATCTATATCAATGTATAATGTGCTGTTAAACACACCTACTGGATGTACACGCTAATGATTCTTGCAAAAATAAAAACGTGATATATCATGAAATAATTAATAAGAAGCAGACATTATTATTTTTTATTCATTCGTTTAAGATGAATATTTCATGCATTTTTTTCTCGGGAAAAGTCTCATTCATAGTTCAAATTACTTCAACTCACTTGCATTTGCAAATACACCAGCCTGGAGGACTTAACTAATTTAGTCATCAACAAATCTAACACATAACACATTTAGAATTTTATGTAAGATCAAACAAAAGGAAAATATGAAATGTAGATATTTTATTTATTTTAGATATGCTTATATAAAAGACAAAGATAAAAGAAAAATCAAAAACATTTTTTGATGTTCAAGTTGATCATCAAGAATTTTACACAAAAATGATTCAACTGACATTGTAATTAAATGAAATCAAAAGAAAAAAAATGAACACATGAGACTATAACTAGAACAACATGAAGATGAAAATATCATGAACCTGAACCACTATTAAATGCAATCTTAATATTATTATAACGTATAATAATGTGACTTATAACTGAATATGAAACTGTGATATATGATCAATGAGTATAATTTACATACTGATGAAAATCAACTTGCGATTAAGTTTGACCACAATAATAATCATCAATTTGTATTATAATCTTGAATGTATCAAATGAATAAATAACATGGTTATGCTTTTGCTTTCGCCTCTTTTTCATTTGAACATTCGTTCAATACATGCATTTTCCATATTTCACGTTATCTGATGAGACTAGATGAAACTAAGAATACTATCTGTTGTGCATGATCATGATTATTATATGTAAATAGAAAAAAAAACCATGCTTTGCTATTGGTTGTTTTTATGTATCTAGAATGATTATATGAATTGATAATTATTATTGCGATCTAACTTAATCTCAAGCTGACTTTACTCAGTATTTAAAACATAGTAATTCATGTTGATCATATATCAAAGTTTCATATTCCGTTATAACTCATATTATTCTACATTGGTTATACTAGATCATATCCAATATTGTTTCAGGTTCATATCGCCGTATTGGTTTTGTTCTAGCTGGTCTCATTTGTTCTTTTTTTTCTTTTGATTTTATTTGTAATAACAGTCGAATCGTTCTTGTCTAAAGTTCTTGATGATCAACTTGCAGATAAAAAGTTTCTTTTGATTGTTGCTTTATCTTCTTTTTCTTTTATACAAGTTTATATAACATAAATCAAAGATCTACAGTTTATACTTTTATTTTATGAGACTACATTAACTCTGTGGATGTTACATATTATACATCTGTCGACGATTATTACTATCTTTAAGTAGAAGAAAATTTTGTTATTTATTGATAAGAATATATCTAATGTGATTATGTGAACTGACGCGTATTATTGTGATCTGATTTGAACTTGTATGATGTTAAAGGCTATTTCAATTAAGTCAACTTACGCATCTTGATAATGAATAGATCTATGAGAATGTGTTGTCATTATGTCTTGTAACATCATTGGGTCACGTGTGAATTTATCGTTCGTATTATTACAAGTTCAAAATGTGAAGATATATTTTACATTGCTATAGTTTCATTATGTTTTCTTGTTTTTTTCTCAATTATGATCAGATCTTACTTGTTCTTTTTTTCTTGTGGCTTTGCAGCATCAATCAAACCGTTAACGTCTGAACTTGTTGATGATTATTTTGAAGATAAATTATTTTTCTTTTTAGTTCTGTCTTTTTCTGAACACAAATATATACAAACTAAATAATTGTTTTTACATTCGAACTTTTTTTATTTGTGTGACATTTTATTTTCATCAATAATACATTTGTACAATTAAGAACGGTTGTCTCGGTTCAATTAATATACAAAAAGTCAAGTTTGTTCATAAAAAAGTTGATTTCGTTGATTTGATAAAAAGCTATTTAGAAAAATAAATGAAAATTATACATATTCTGCTGAAGTATTTTTTATTTTAATTCGACACAATTCGAGACGAATCATTTGAATTTTACAGAAAAAGTCAGAATAAAATAATATTTGCATGATTTCTATAATTGATTGAATGTCATCTTGAAATCATTCTGGTTATTAGTATGCAATCAGAACGATATCGTCATCTAGAATACACTCTGACGAGCTGATATAGCTCAGACGTAAGTAGCTTGTTCTTTGATTAGAAGTTCTTCTGTTCTAGCCTACATCATCGCACTTGTCATTGATATATCGTAAGTTAAATCACTTGTTCTGTACTATGCCTCTAGGAAAGAGCTGACCGTCACGTGATTGTGATGGTGCCGCAGCGCGAATCTGCGAGTACAAAAAGGTTTTTTTTCCCAAAATTTTGTGAAACGCGTTCACACGCATCTTCTCTAATGCATGCAGCTGAACGCGTTTGGATTTATGACGCGTCTGAACGCGTCAGATGTTTCACCATATTCCCAGATGCGGTTGGACGCGTTTTGGTTTTTGAACGCGTTCACATGCATCTCTTTTAATAGACGCGTCCGGACGCGGCAGATGTTTCAACATACTTCGAGCCGCATTCGGACGCATTTGGATTTATGACGTGCCTGAAACGCATCCGATGAGGCATTGCATGCTTAGACGCGTCAGATGTTTCATTTTGGACGCGTCCAAACGCATTCTTAGAGCGTTTCGAACGCATCTAAAACGCGCTTCAAAACGCGTTTAGATTCAAAAAATTTTCACATGGGAATACCCATGTAAATATTTTTTGCCTCAAAACGCGTCTGAAACGCGTTTTATTTACGTGCGAAACGCACAAAGAAAGGGCCTTCAGACGCGTCCCCAGTGAAACAAACGAAGCGTTTGAACGCGACTGAAGATAAAACCTCACTCAGACGCGGTTGTTCAAAAAATCGGAGATAGACGTGTTTTGAAGTAAAAACGCGTCTGAACGCTTCGAATGTTTCACAGGGGACGCGTCTTCGAACAAAACTGCGTTCGGGCACGTTTGAAATGAAGTTGTGGTTATTTATTCGCAGGCGAATAAGGAATCGGGAATAAACGCGGTTCAAACAAAGCTGCGTTGAGACGCGTTTGAAATAAATTTGTGGTTAGACGCAGGTAAATAAGAAGTCGCGAAAAAACGCAGTTCGATATAAAAGGGCGTTCAGACGCGTCTCATACCATTTATTAAAAATGAAAAAGAAAATTATTCAAGTTCGTCTCAGGTTTGATCTGACGCCATGGATAACCTCTATCGCATGGTCTTTAGCTTACTTAGGTCAACGAACTGTTAGCATATTGACATGTGGATGAATCTGAAATGATAGAAATGAGATTAGAACATGTGAACCAATGATTAAGAAACATGTATACTTACCGTGCAGCCATATATGACCACAATCGTTGTCGCATGGCATACACAGTCTATATGAGTTATGAAGTCATATGAAATCTACAGATCTAAAAATGATATAATGTCGAAAAAATTTAATTTTTACCAAATTATTAATTGACAATATTCATATTTAGTATTGCTAGAAAAAGTATTTTCATAAAAGTAACTTTTGTTCAATATTATTTTTAATTTCAAAAAATTACTTTGACAAACTTTTCCATTCAAGAGAAGACGGGAAACAGTTGTTTTAGAAATAAAATCACTTGCGGCACTATCGGAATTCGACTTTCAATATCAATTTACTTTATTTTATTAAATATATATTCTCGTTGTTTTTTTTTAATATAACTATTCAAGTAACTCAAATGAGAACTTTCAATAATGATAAAATCAATTTAAAAAAAAGAGTTTAGTTTTATTCATAAAACTACTCAATAGCAATCATTTGTCGTCCTCAAAATAAAACATGAAAAGTCAGAAAACTTTGATAGTAAGTTAAACTAGGAAAAATTTAACTGTGATATTAACAACGTTAAATAAGTTTCGTTTATTTGATTAATCTATCATCTTGCCTATCATCAAAACTGAGGCTGTAAAATAACAATAATGTGATGTATAAAAGCTAGAAATACCAAATAAATATGCACGAAATACATCGAAGCAACAACTTTTGATTATTTATTTTGTCTCGTTATACTATTTAACTTGAGAAAGTCTACGTCTGATACTCTTTGCAGATAGTACTCACGAACAAACGAACAGTGTAAAATATCAATAAATAAAAGCTTATCTATTTAAATGAATGAAAAGCAAATCCATAGCTTTAATAGCTGTAATTGGTCTCCTCATCAATCTCAACTCGATGATGTTCATAATTAGATATTATTTCAAATGAAAATCTGATTTACTAGTGTAGATGAAGCGAAAAAACATTCTTAGATTTTTTTCAATCTTTTCATATTCTCGAAAAAAGTTCACTTCAATAAGAAACAGGAACAGTAGATTATACAAGTAATCATGCAACAGATAGCGTCGGCGACGCCATCTATGATTGAAAGTTAGCATCGTCTGCAGTAAATAAATAAATCTTATGTAAAAAGAAGCATTCATGGTTCATAAATGAAAGAGAAAATAGTGATTTTATCAACAATAAATCTTTCCAATGAGCATTTTTATTTGTTTATTGTATAAGTATTCGTTCATTGTCAATAGTTGTTCGTTATAGAATGTTCGTTGTATTCAAGAAAGTGCATGTTCAGAATTTAAACAAACTTCTAACAATTGTTTAATAGAAGTTGCTTCGTATAGTTGATAAATTAACTATT